TATCTTTGGCAAGTGATGTAACTGGTTTCGCAATATAATTTTTGGTTAATGGTGGAACAGGTTTTTCATTGGAAGCAGTTGCAGTTAAAGTCTTACTAGGCTCGATTTGCGAGGCAACAGCAGCATAGGTATTACTTTTGCCAATTCCATGGGCTACAGATGGATTTCTTTCCCGGTATGTGCGTCGCGCTTCGCCCATGCTACAGTAATTTTCTGTTTTGATTTTTAATATTTCACGCATCTGTACAAAACGTGGGCATTGTTTGTCTAACGCTGAGTGTTGATCATTGCAATTTATGCAGAAAATACGGGTACAGCTTTCAGTATGTGGAGGATGACCACAGTTAGCACAAGATGCAGCATTAGTGCATCTTTTCGCCGTATGACCCAGGCGTTGGCAATTTTTACACCTCATAGGATTTGGGATGTATAGTTCTACTTTACATTTATACCACGCCTCATCAACTGTTCGCGGTAATCGATAGCGGTCAAAAGTTAAAATAATCCTTCCTGTAGGAGAGCGTGTTTTTCCGTCATCATTCAGTTTGGCTAATTTATATACTTCAGTCACTCCTTGAATGCCCATTTCGCGAACAATTTCATCTTCCGGCACATGCTTTAAGCAAGGGGCATAAATTACGCCTCGAACCGAGTTAAGTTTCTCATGTAGTTTAGCTGAAATAGCACATAGATTAGCTAAAGAATTGGCCTTTATTAGTTTTTCGGTTGCGCGCGAGTTCCCAGCGAGGACCAGTAAATTCCCATCGCGTAGAATCGAGATCGAGTCGATGTATGTTGTAATGCTATCTAGAGCTTTTTTTGTAGCAAAAGGGCTAATTTGGGAAATTGTTATTCGAGCATCGGTTGAAGAAATAACAATATATTTTTTATCAATAGGGATTATATCGCTGATCGGCAACACCGGAAAATCTGATTTTTTACCTTTTTTTCTTTGGGGGGATGTATCACTTAATAGATAAAATCTATTCGGGTTTTTGTCTGGCGGCCCCGGGGCCATTATGCCTTATTGTTGTCTATTTATTATTATTTTTGAAATAACCATTCACTTGAAAAGGTTTGGGAACTGTGCAAGAAGGTTGGGAACTACTAAAGAAAAGTGTCAAATGTTTTCAATTTTTTATTTTTTTTTTATTTTGTTTTTTTGTTTTCTATTTTTTATTATATATAGACGAAACAAAAGCACATACGCGATATCCGCGTTAACCAGTTTTAGCAATAACACTGAAAAGACAGAAGTTAAATACACAAAAACACCGAAAACACCGAAACAATTGAAAAAACGCAGACGAATAGAAAACACGCACTACACTGAACACAAGTCGACTCGTCTATGTGTAATAATAATAATAATAATAAGCTACTTCAAATAACAATATGGCCTGGTTGATGAAATTCGTAACGCCCATCGCTGCATTAGTTGAAAGAAATTGTCAATATGACTTTGAATTTTGCAAGAATCGCACGACTTGTTTGCATTTTAGTTCGATTGATTGATTGTTTACATAAATCCAAGTCTCATATCTCGTGATGTTGCCTTCCATGACGTCCTGGCAGTCACTTCACAGTAACAATCGAAAGATCCACATTTCTATGTTTGCAAAAACAAGTGTAGCTCTGTATCTTCACAGATGTTAAAGAGAATATCTTCTATTAGTGTTATCTACAAAACTTAAAACCTACAAAAAAAGAAAAATTTTGTGTTCACAACATTAAGAGATGAGTATTCAAATCTTAAAGGAAAAGTACAATTTCTTCAGCTTGAGAGCATTTCTTTTTCAATTGGTAGCAAAATTTGTAAAGTCCATGGATGAAAGCACATTGCAAAGAGTAAACTTAATGCTAAATTATAGTGATTTTATGGAAAAAATTCTTCATAGCGTAGAGTATTTTTTTCTTTTAATATTTGAGATTGATTTTTATTTTATCATTGTTGGCGGTTATTAATTTATCAATTTTTAAACAGCTTTTAAAATGTCTTATGCGTAATTGTTTAATAAACAAGTATATGAAGCTTAGAATGCACTTTGAGTTATTTATTTAAAAGTTTCACTTAGTGTTATGCTTCGTTGTTATCTTTTAGAATAACAAACATCATGCAACCGCAAATGGTCATGCTACCGCCATATCAACGACAACGGATCGTGTACCGCCCATCGGTGGCTATCAATGGCCAAATGATCAAACACCCGGTGTTATGGGTCTTAAAAATCATGGCAATACCTGTTTTATGAATGCAGTATTACAATGCCTCAGTCATACGGATATATTGGCTGAATATTTTGTCTTAGATCAATACAAGGTCAGTTAAGAGTTAATTGAGTGGAAAACGTGATAACATGATAATTTGTCAATTATCATATGTGTATGCTTATGTGCTTGTTTTACAGGCTGATCTGAAACGCCGCAATAAAATCAATGCACGTAAATTTGGTACAAAAGGCGAGCTTACCGAACAATTGGCGAATGTTTTAAAAGCCTTGTGGACTTGCAAAAATGAAAGCGATCACAGCACCAGTTTCAAGGTAAATTAAATAAAAACATTATTAGACTAAATAAAAATATGATTTATATTAACTTATGTTCTTCGTAAGGCTGTGGTGGAACGTTACGGTTCACAATTTCGCAGTTCAACACAACACGATGCTCAAGAATTTTTATTCTGGTTATTGGATAAAGTGCACGAAGATTTAAATACCGCCACCAAAAGGCGCTATAAGAGTGTTAAGGTAAGCAAAAGCAAAAGCATTGCCTTAGTTTATAAGAATAAAAGACTGGGATGACGATGCAGTTTTTATGTAGAAGTTTCTCTTTTTTCAATCCATTGCTTCTTTATCTATTGGGAATACAAATTAGTTCAGTCCGGTTGGGTAAAAGAGGTTGTAATTAGTACTGTAAGGTATAAAATAAAACTGTGACTTCTTTTCATTTCCACGCAACTGTGTGAATTATTGCAATAAAGCAAGCGTGCATAACATAATTCCTTGGAGCTTTGAATGGATTTAATTTTATACCAAGAATAATAAAGTTTGCGGAAAACGTGATTTCCTGGTCAATTTAAGGGATAGGGGCGCTTAAATCCTTACGAGTGATGAACAATGAATGCATTGCAATATCCAAAGCCTAAATAACCATGATAGACAGTAGTAGTAGTAGTAGTAGCATGCGACATTAATAACATATAAGGCTGAATGTCCTTGATTCTAACCAAATAAAACCATCGCTAAGCATTACAATGTTCAATAATTGATGCAATTGCGCCAAAAAATGGGCACAATATACCAACGCAGCGATATCGTGCGTTTTTAGTAAGAACGAATGCAGGAACCAGGAACGCCCTGCGCTCCACGCTGTTACTAGCAGATATTACTTCAACCGATTAACACAAGTTTCAATAGATGACTCATTGTTCGAACAGTGCTTCAATTCTTTTAACGATACCCAAACACTAGCTCCTTTAGATATAGCCTTAGAAGGTGAGGCTATTTTCGAGATGGAGTTCGGAAAATGATAACACTTTGAATAAACACACAAGACTCTGAACAAAACTTCAAAGTTCCAAAAAAGCCGTACCAACCTTATTTGTACAAAATTATTGTACGCGATAGTTGATAAAAACACTGTACGAACAACGAAACTAAAATAATATGATAGGAAAAAGTACCTAAGTGCCATTCTACCTAGCTTTGCACTTTCAGAATAATTGTTTTCAAATTCTAAGCTAGCACGTCGACAATATTCAAACTGGTTTCAAAACCCTTAAAGAAATTGAAAAGAAAAGGAGGGTGTGACACTGTCTGATACAAAAAAGATAACTCTTCCAAATCCAGTCAAGATCAAAGACGATAATCGTAATTATAAAAACGTGTTGTACTTCTGGGAAAATGTCTGAATGTGAGCCAGCGTTAAAGCTTTACCTCCTTGAAGGCAGCACATATTATTCTTATTAATAATTTAGCTGGAGAAATTAATTCTAAGACTAAAGTCTTAAAGCATTAGCATCTAAGGCAATCGGCTTTATGGAAAACTCTAGCGCTCTTAAGATTTGAACCCGCAACCACTGAATTGATAGTCGAGATTCTTTGCCTACTCGCCCTCTCAGGCCGATTAATTCATACTATATTATAAATACATTACAAAAATATTAGAAAATTTATGTAAAATTTGGATATTATTTCTATGATGCTTCCACAATTACTACACTCGATGCTTATTATACGTAAGCTTTCCCATTTAGACAATTCTTAACTCGCAATTAGGTAAGTTTCTTGTGATGGAAATCTCTTCTTTGACTTAATTTACCCATGTGAGTTCAGAGAAAGACAACCGGCAGATCGTCTACATGCATACACAGTGCGTACTCTCTCCTTAATAAGTCGACAAAAATGACGATCAAAAACTGTCACAGGAACTCATAAATTTTTTGATTGTCATTATATGAATGAGGATGTTGTTCGAACAGTTTTCCAAAGCATTTACTATGAATTTTCTTTGAGTATATGAAACAGATGTTAGTTAGTAAAACAAAGATATTCCAGATACCGTTCAAATAAATTATAAACATTAAGATTTAAATGACCCGGTAACCAGATTAAATTAATATATTTATACCACTTGATGCTACACTGAAATAATGATATCATGCAGCTGCTAAATCACAGTTAAGCTACGTTTCTAGCTTCATATGCATTTCATGTGCATGCATAAAAAGAAATGCAGCTGAATTCTTTAAAAGATCAACAAGATAATGACATCTTTGGAAAGCGTAAATAACAATAAAGCAAAAACACAGTGACTAATCAACGAAGGGGGGGGGCACTGGCTACATGAGAAATTTGCCGTCACTTAAGAGGAAATGAAAAATTTTCAAAGTATAGTGAGATGGAGTAAAAGTTAATAATATATTTTTTATTCTTATATGAATATTTGCAGAATAACTACGGCCGTCCAGATGAGGTGATTGCTGCTGAAACACTAGCCAACCATATACGTTGTAACAATTCATTTGTACAAGCGGTATTTCAAGCGCAATTTCGTTCATCGCTTACTTGCCCGCGTTGTAAAAAGCAATCGAATACCTTTGATCCATTCCACTGCATATCGGTACAATTGCCGCAATTGACGCAACAAACAGTATTTGTTACTGTCGTATATCTAAAGCAGCAACCACGTCAAGTGCGTGTGGGTTTAACGGTGACAGCTGGTTCGGCGATAGTGGCCTTGCGTGAACAATTAGCCAAAGATACTGGTATTGCTGGTGACCGTATGGTGCTTGTAGATTTACAAGAGGATGGATTCTCTCGTGTCTTCTACGATTGTCAACCTGTCAATACTTTGGAAGGTAACGATAAGATATATTGCATAGAAGTACCGCCGGAAAAGGATTTAAAACCCGTTGATAGTCCCAGTACACCACTATCGTCTGATCTTTTACTACTAGTGGCGAATGTAAAGAAAACGAAAAAAATGAAAATTAATGAAGATTCAGCGAAAGTGGTTCATACTTATACGTTGGAAAGATTTGGTGCTCCTTTCTGCATGCAAGTGGCCCGCGATTGCTCCTACGCCGAATTACAGAAAAAACTATTACGTGAAATGGCTTCCTTGGTAAAGCCGGAGGTATTCTCTTATTCTACACCATTGAGTGAAATGTTTCAAATGCGTCTACAAGATCCCTCAGCTGATCCAGATACGTATATAGAACAAGTGGAGCATCCACTATTAACCGAAATGATAGATTTAGCATTATCTGTATTATCTTCTGAAGCGGGGCCAGCTCATATCAAACTACTACTTGAATGGCCAGACCCAGAGGCCCATTTCAATAATCTCTCTGACAGTGTAGTAGAACATGAGAGTGTTCCCGTGCTGAAGTTGAATAAATCAAATGACACTGCTACGCTTAGTTTGGAGCAATGCTTAGAACACTACACTAAAGCGGAAACGTTGAGTGCCGAAGATGCTTGGCGCTGTCCTCACTGTCAGCAGTATTTACCGGTTGTGAAAACTCTCGGCTTGTGGTCGTTACCAGATATTTTAGTAGTGCATTTTAAGCGCTTTCGTCAACATCAAGTGAAAGGAGCTAATGCTGCCAAATTAACTACAATGGTCAAGTTTCCCTTGCATTCTTTCGACATGTCACCACATTTGGCTAGAGGAACTAATGAATCCGCATCGGCATCTTCTCTTCTAACCGATATAAGCTATAATTCCACCCATTTTCGACCGAGTCCTTGGCGTAAAAGTCGACCAGGTGATTCCCGCTCCTCTACTCTAAGTTCGCGCGACAATAAAGAGACCCGATACGATCTCTATGCCGTGTGTTACCATCAGGGTGACACACTGGAAACCGGTCATTATACAGCTGCTTGTAAGAACCCCTACGATCGGCAATGGTATAAATTCGATGATCAGCGTGTAACCAAAGTTTCCAATGAATCGCTGCCCGACGAAATTGTGAATAACGAAGCGTATATGTTATTCTATCAGCGCCGAGCATCCGAAAATACAGAGTGCTCCGGATCAAGTAGCAATTCTAGTGATCATTGGGTATCACGTATAGTACCTCCTGCTACGATGAGTAGCAACACCAGTAACCCCTTAATAACAGATAACATAAAAGTTGAGGCTAAAATTGAAAAAATGCATTCCATAGAAGACTTGGTAAAGGTAGAGGCTAATGCCGATTTAAAACCAATCCAAGTTCTTAGTAAGGAAATCACAGACGAGTTGGAAACGAGAAATGAAGGTAACTAATTCAAGTAATTAAATTGCAATTACATTATAAACTTAATTTTTATCGTTCTTATTTACAGAGAATGTAAACTCTGGGGTCATACTTGCTCAAGAGGTTGTGATAACAAACGGTCATACAAATAGTTTAGAGGTTTTAGAAAAGGATTTGCTGTTTGCTGATTCCGATGTAAATGTTCAGACGCAAGAAATATTGGATGGTCGAAATCCCGATAAGGAGAGTATTAATCAAAGAGAAGAAGGAACACAAGATGTACCTCGTACAGGCGAAACCGTGAAAATTGTCAATTCTTTACAATCCATACATGAAAGTAATGCGAAGTCAATTCAAGATGAAAATCGAACAATAAACAAACTGAATAACAAATCGCCAACCACCTTAGACACCGTTAAACAGATTTCGTCGTCACAATCACCGGACACTAAAACGAATCATACTGTTTCCAATACATCTAGTGTAACAACGTCATCCGATTCGTCTATTTCGTCTATGGCTTTGGTTGATTCCTTAGCTGTGTCAGTTAATGGTTCCACTAATTTGCAAAACAAATTCAATAGCTATACAGCAAACGCGGCCAAAGAACAATTATTATCCGCCAATATGAAGAGTAGCAGCAGCAGTATTATTGGCAGTGCTTTACCGGGACACACTTATCGTCAGCCGTGGCATGGTAGCCGTTCAAGCGTATCGGCTGTTGAAAGTTGTGTCACTCAACCATCGATGGCTGCTACTCATCCGTCTTTGCATTTACGTCATTCATTTTCGACTACTTCAAATTACCGGTTACGGGAATGTACTGACACGTTATCTTCATTGTTGCGGAATTCGAACAATACGTGTAGCAAAGATACTTTAATATTCTTGGATCAGCAAAATCATCACAATCATCATCACGGCTTAATGGAAGACGATGACGATGATGACGATACCATTATGGGTAGTAGAACGTTGTGGGTAAGTACACAAAGAAAAAGAAAAAAAAAAGTAAAATAAAACAATTAAATAAATAAATAATTATGTAAAATAATTCGTATGTAATATTCTATTTAAATAAACTCGGTTTTTCCAGATCTCCCCCGTGACACCACATAAACTGATAACCGTATCACCAAAAAATTGAGACATAACTTTTGAAATGTCTTCATTTTAATGATAAGATAAAAAAAAAAAGAAAAATATTTAAATAAATACATTTATATTTTCGATTCATTTATTTGTATGTTTCTTAGATAAATTCGTATAATTAAAAAGGTGAAAATGCAATGTAAATTAATTAATTAAAAAAAATTAATATTAAGCAGAAATTATACAAATATTCAAGCATCCATGTATAGAAATATAAACGATGCAGACTTTATCTTGACATATTACCATATTCGTATATAGGAAATATAACTTTTTAAGGCAAAAAGTGTATTCGTTACTTTAAGAAATTTACTTTACACGTTGTATACAATTGAGAGATAACAGATTTGAAGATTGTAATATAGATAGATATATAGCTAAATATAGTTAAGTATAAAGAATTACCATAAAAATATTGCCGTAAAGTGTTACATAATTTTTTTCTAGAGAAAGAGAACAGTAATTATTTTATATAAATATTAACATTATGTTAAAAATGTTGAAAAGCGATATAAGTGCGTGTTGAAATTTTACTGTTTATATATAATAGCTACATAAACGCGTACATATTGGCAATAAAATCATGTAATATTTATATATTTGTTGTAATAAATTATGAACAGAAATAAATTTTCGTATATCTCCTCAATTTATTTTAAGATTTCAAAAGTCAAATATTTTTCTACTTATTTCAATTTACATCACTTGTGATGCAAGGGTACATTAAGCTTGTGCAGACTTAAACGTAATACGCAGAAGGGCTTAAGGTAGACTCATATTGTATTATACCGATCTATTCAGAATCACTTTTCGCCCGCCTGTCCTTCTTATTTTTTTTATATTCCATCTACAGGAGATATTCCATTGAAATTCCGTAAGGTGATGTGTTTTGGCTCAAAGACGAAAACTATTGCAAATAGTTTAGATCGGACCACTTTTTCGATCACTTTCCATAAAACTGAATGTGAAGCGAATAAATGCACAGTGGTGTATAGATGAACTATAATTCGCCTACATTAATGCCTATTAAGAAGACAAGTTTAATGTATTTTATTTTGGGCGAGGTTAATTTTTGCAATTAATTACACATAAAAATTGTTTTTGTATACATTATTTGAAGAGCTACGTTAAAACGTTCAATATTAACATCTCCACCGAATTAGCCATCCGGCAAAAGAAAACCATAATACTACCAATCATAAGCAATAAACCACTGATAAGAAAGAATGCTTTCCTACAGGTAGGGAAACCTATACGGCTTAGATATCCAAAATATTGCTAAAGTAATCCCCCTTTACCATCCAAATTTGTTGGCCACCCAAGAACCACCTAATGACCCAATTGCTCCACGTATTGATTACATTTTATTTTTAAACAATTATTAACTAATAATTACAATTAGTAACTAATAATTATGCATCTATAGAAAATGTTTCGTTTCTTTTTTGTACATACAAGGTAATATAAAATGAAAGCAATGGTGGACAAGAAACAAGCGCAAACAGAGCTATCTAGCAGGGAATATCAGTTCATTTTAAAAAAGTCCTCAATAACGGCATAAAAACTACCATCGCGTCGAGACATCGCTACCACTGTAGATGCTTTACTGCATTCCTCTTCCTCTGACGGAGGATCTACCACACAGCAATCACCGATCTTGCAAACAGCTACGTTTATCTCATACACACTTATTCCGAATTACCCAAACTGTGAAATTAAATTTATTAATTTTAATTTTTATTAAGAGATTTCTGTTTCTTGGTGAAACTTGAAGAAATTGAAGGAACAGATGTAGGTAACCGTAAAGCTAGCATTGACAACCTTGACTTGGATAATGCCTAAACCAATTCAGGGTATTTTACAATCTTGGAAGTAGGCATGGTTAGTTCCTGTGATGAAATCTTAAAATCGACTTGGTAGTTCGATTCTAACAACAAAGCCAAAACGACAAAATGACACAAAGCTTTGTCAGTGAAAAACGCAAAACGGCAAAACGGCAACCACTAAAAATGAATATATAACACGTAAGGTACAATAATATTTGTAAAGTTTAAGAGCGACAAATTGAGTGCATGTTTACCGATGTCTGCTCCGATCCGCAAAACGTTCACGGACTACATATGCCAGCTTTTCTGATATTTTCATTTTGCATAATAAAAAATACACAAATTCTCTGCCTAAGATTATTAAGAGTGAAAATTAAAATCGCCAAGGATATCATTCGTACCTCCTCCTAGCCGTATCTACTTCCGAGCAATGATGAAGTAATGGTTTATATATTAATGCTAATAATGTATCGAAAACCTTTGAATCCTTCGGATCTTTACAAACAAATGCTTCGAGATAATCAAATTTGCGAAGTTTTGAATGTTGTTTCCGAATATTATTGACCTTAAGACAAAAAAAAAATACCACGGGTGGAGAATGGAAAGAGCACAGACCACAATTATATGATTTCCTGACTGCAACCTGAAACGCATGTTGATGGTAAGAAAGGGAACAGATTATGTTCAGTTTACTCTGGCTAAGAGAGCAATTTGAGACGGAGCACTTTTGACCGACTGTATAATATAACAGAAGTATAACGGATGGATCGATTAACTCCATTTTTGGGATTTGATTAAATTTTAATATCAAAGCACTTCATTAGCTCCTAACTGTGCATATTCAAACGAATTTCTCTAATAGTAAGTATTAACGCTACTAAATGACAAAATCGTTTTGGCCACTGAATAATAAATAATTTTTGTCAGAAGCCAATCTGATGAACTCCGTACTATAATGTATTTATATCATAATAAAAATCTATTTAACCCGCACTATTTTCCTCTCCTACGGGGACATCTGTAAGTTGTTCGTTTAATTTCATGATTTTCGTTAGACGAGAGCTGTTATCGCTCGCACGAGTAGATAAAATGTAAAGTAGTTGTGTTCGAACTGCCACAAGTGAAGATGCTTATAGATTTCAATTTTATTGTGAATTCTGTTTTTAAAAAAAGTGAATTGTTGTAACCTTAAAATGGAAGGCAGAAAGCTCGGTTCGAGAAAACGATCTTGTATTTATTCGGTTTCGTCATCTGTTTACAGCAATGAAAAAATCGCAGCCAATAATCCGACTGGACGAAAAAGAAGCCGTAATCCTGGTAAATGGGACCGAAATGTCCAAAAGCATAACAGAATAAAAGATTCAGGATACAGAAATGGAAGTGGACGTTCAATATCTGAAAAAACATTTGCTAATCTGCCATGTCGATGTCGTCAAAAGTGCAATGAAAAAATCATTTCGGATGAAGTTAAAGCTGCCATGGAGGCGTTTTATCAGTTAGAGAGTCAAGTTGAGCAAAATATTTTTTAAAGAGGGTGCGTTAAAGTCAAAAAAAATAAAAAAAGGGGTCCGCAGAGTAACAGCAAAACTCCGAGATCACGTTCTTTCACGTATTATTTTCGCAGACTCGGACAGGTAATATTTCGGTTTGCAAAAAATATTTTATGAATACCTACCAGAAGGAGAAAATACTTAAGTCAGGGGCATAAAAATATTAAGAAAATGTAGGAACTCGTGCAATGTACAAAAGAAAATATAGAAGCAGTGAAAGAAAAATATTATTACAATGTATTGTCGACTAAATTTAATTTGCATTTTAATCAACCGTCTAAAGATACGTGCAAAACTTGTGATTGTCTACAAATAAAAACTGAGTCTTCAGACAGTGAGGAAATGAGAATGGCAAAAATTGAAAAGGAAAATTATTTATCTGGAATGAACTGGATTTGGGGCTTCCGTAACAATATGTTTGTATAATGACATTTTTCCGTAATAAAAGAATAATTCAAAGACTGAATTTGAATTAATAACTTTCTTTCATTTGCCAAATCGATTAACTCCGTAAAACAAGAAGTTGAGAAAAATGATAAAATATACAAGTTATTGTTAAGACAAGAAAAGAAAGTCTACTATGACTCATGGTAGAATAGATTTATGGTTTCTTTTTTTAGTTTCCGAAGTATGCTCAACGGACAGAATTTGTGGACACGTTCATGGGACAAGAGCTTCTAAAAATTAAAGTCATCCATTACAATATTTTTGAACTTTCTTTGCCCTTCTTTCCCTATCTTTTCTCCTCTTTAATATATATTAATATTATAATAAAATTTATTTATCTAAGGGATTTAATGCTGCATTTATTGTAGAAGTTACAAATTTTAAACATATATTCATCTTTTCTTGTCTTCGTAGAGCTATTTCTATTAATGAGTATTTGTATTACAATCGATTTCCGTATATAAACAGCCGTATTTTGGTGATGTGATAGCTAACTAATTGTAAGAGGAGGCAAAGGTCTCCTTCTGATTGCTCTTATGATCTCGTATCCAACTTGCCATTTCGTAGTAATGGTTGAGATAAAGCTCTTCAAATTTGGGATAAAACAAATAAACAAATGATTGCCTATCGACGTCTCAGAATACGTTTGTAAGTAGACCGGTAGACGATCAAAGCTTCTTCATAGCAATTAGTAAAAATATAGGTACATACATTAATTATTAAATTGAGAATTCCACGAGTTTTGATTAAATTTCTCATACACATTCTCACATAAGTTCATATATTAATTTTAGATTTAATTCAAGATCTCTCTCTTGGCGAAAATTACAAAGTTTTTTTCTGACTTTCAAACCATATGACTTTTTATGGAAAAAGTATTTTAATTAATCGTAAACGCGTTTCAATAAAGTAAAATAAGTATATGAAGCATTTAATAGTGATTGAAATAATTCCATAGTCATTGGATAAAAGTTGCCGACTTTAATCTGAAGACGAAACATTTACAAAAATAAGAAGAAGATAATTATATGATTTGAAAAACATAATAAATACCGAACAAGGCTTCTGAGCTCTTAATATTAGTAGTAAAATATATTTTTGCACGGTAGTATCATGAGTAAACCAATCAGTTTCGTAAGCTGCTGCAGCTATTGCAAAATTCTAAAAAAAAGTTCTGAGGATAAATTTCTTAAGTACACAATAAATGAAAATTACTTTTTACTTCTTGCCGGAGTTCGTTAGCGTACCAATACAGAGCCAAGATTTGTGCCAAGATCATTATAATGTAGGCGCAAACTATAATTGCTTGTCCGGACGAGTTGACCTGAGAATGAGTACAAAAGAAAAAAAATGCCTTATGCTGGCTTTCCACTTTTACTTACAATTATTAATAGGAATAATAGAGCGCAGAGTAAGGCCCCAAAGGCTAGAAATTCCAATAGAAATATAAAAGTGCAAAGACCGTTAACCGCTTCGATAAAGCTTTAATTATGCGAAAATTAATCCTAGAAGAAGAAAACTTAATTCCAAACTCAACGAAAACTTACTTAATAATCCGTATTTGATATTTGATGCAACTGATTATTTCTGCATGAATTAGTTTTGGTTGATCCGCAAATCGATGTAAAGTACGTAGACGATGTTGTAAGGTTTTGCTCATCACAACACCAAACAGTATAAACGAAACTATGAGACTAGTGTAGGGTATATACATACAGCATCCTATCGGAGTGATGCACATTTCAAATATATACCAAAGCTCATAAAACGGTGAACTGTACTCATTGATTCCTGGTATAATGCTGCCAAAAGGTAACACTTGCGTTGAAAGTAAATAAAAAATTTATTTTTTCATTTTTACTATTGGTTCGCATGATTTGAAAATGGATTTAAAACTATATAAACATGCTTGGTGTATAGGAAGACTGTTTCTTAAAACGAAATCCTGAAAAGAACAAATTTTTTGCGTGATCTGATTAGGCACAGAGAATAGAAAAGCGATTACTGAGAAGCTTCTCAGCTTCCTGAATTTTTAATGTTCTTGCATCGACAGGTCGCGAAATTCGTTTGCAACATTATTTCTGGAAAACGCAATGAACCAGACGGTATATAAACCTGTCTTCTTTCTTTCTGCGGCGTTTCCTTAAAATGTAATTAAATATCAAAGATTGTTGACTGTTGACTGTTGTTGTTGTGCAGAAACTGAATGTAATTACCGACAATAAAAGTTCAATACCAGATAAACAACGCTTTGTTTCCTCTCACCTACACAGTTTCGGGTAATAGGAATTTTGACGGAAATCAACCGTCATAGCTAATCTTATAACCTGGTAGCTTTGGGAGCTACGGGAACGCCTGTGATAAAGCTCTTAGATGTTATAAGCATGTAGCGCTTCCAATGCGTATCTGTCGCACAACGAAATTGTGCGCAACGTGGAAGACTGTATTATAAATATCATGCTGTGTGCCTTTGAGCTGGGTAATCCATATCAGAAACAAGTGCCAGAACCGCTAAATTAGTTTATTTACGCTTGAGGGCTTTGAAGAACCTTAAACGAAACCTTCAAATTTTCGTTTAGGATTTGGATGAGATAATTTACGGCTTCGAAAAGTTTTGCCGCCTTCCATGCTATACATGATTCGGTTCGGTCATATGCAAACTTAGGAAGACCAACATCCTTCAGCACCCGGGAGATTTATCGAAAGTGAACCCACAGCTCTCCAAGCTACCGGGATCTGCAGTTCATTTGCACGGATGCATCGCAGCCCGTATTGAAGTGAATCCTCCCGCGGCCAAGGCAATAAGAACAGCCGCTACGCAATCGGATTTATTCCGAATCGCATTTGCATCTATGGAGTGTAAGAATTCTTTAATCGATTGATGAGTCAATAATATTGGATGTTCTTGACTATTTTGTCTTATTCGTCAGTGGGAAAAAGAAAGAGCGCCGCTCACGGTCGAATTGAAGATGAGGATGATAGCGATAAAGACGCGGCAGAAAAGAAGGTTGCCGTCCATTAAAGTGAAACAAATGTGAGATGTTTTGTTAAACAAATAAGTTTTTAGAATTAAAAATAAAAAGTTTTCACAAGGTTTATAATTTATTAAAGCAATAAAAATGATCTTTGATTTATTAAAATCTCAAGCGCACGAATAACAATATTTAATGTAATCAGCAGAAATAAACATTTTTCTTCTACTACCAGAGTGAACGTTATAATGAATAGTTTTCTCAAAAATATTAAAGCGAAATTCATAGACCGTTTCGAGACTGTCAGCCCTTGACATTAGAGAACCTAGCTTAAAAATAATTTCTATGGTACGAAAGCTCAAGAGCTTACTCTTCGGATTGAGCAAGCTTTGGTGTGCTTGATTGATTCTTGAACTAAGCCATTAGAATTTTTTGCAGCTACACATATAGTTCTACAATTAGAGAGGTAAGCGTGCACCCATCCCTGCGTAGTGGTTATGTAAAAGTATATTATGCTGTGGGCTATAAGAGTTCATCGGTCAATAAGTATATGTAAGACTGGCGGCAGTAAATCTTTCCATCTGATACATTTTGGATCTCCCACACGTAATGGATCTACGCAACGCTCTAAAATCTCTATTAAATGCTCGTTAGGAAGTGTTTACAAACCCAGACATAAGTGTTATGAAATGATAAGTTTGCCTTTAAGTTAGTTCCATCTTTAATAAGCCGTCAAGAAAGCATTTCAGGGAAGCAAACGTTTCTCTCTATTTTAAAAACTTTCAATACCGCAACCTTGTAGCAAACAATCCCAAATTTTTATAAATTCGTCACGCCCCAGTTTGTTCTCCAGAATGTTAGTGCATTGCCAAACATTTTCTGATGGGTTTTAAAAATATCTCTCAAAATTGTACCTTTTTTTGGAAGTACTTGGCAGTAATTTCTGTAATTGCGACGATCTACGTCGATCATTGGGCGTATACATTTGCTTTTCTAAAATTAATGCTGTACTATCTGAAGAAAACTCCAAACAGATTAAAAAAACCAACAAGAAAGGATGCGTTTCATATCAAACATTATTGCCAAACTTTCTTTTTTTTTTTGGGTTGTGGACCAAGCCAATAAATCTGCGGCCTAGTCCATCTAAGTCAATAAATTTGTGGCTTAGTCCATCTATGTCCAGACTGCCAAACTTTGGTTTTCGAGTAGGACGAATATTTAAATTGACCAGATGTTCTTCTGTTCGGAACACGTGGTCTTGGCAAAAACAAAATACACAGTCCCGCGTCTTTGCAGAAACAAAACTGACGTTTTTTATTTGAAGTTAAACTGTTCATGTTTTAGTATTGGGTTTTTTTTTGTTTTGTAAATGATAAGACCAGAGAAACTTGATATGATGATCTCGTGCTGATTTAAGCGGTTTAAGGCTAAGGCAGTTCACTTTTACGTACATTCGTGATATGTCAATTTTCCATATGACCCTTTGCATTTAATATCGGGTAGTTTGGGCCCTTTTGGTGCCGAAATGCCAGTGCAAGTGCTTTTGGGGATAGCCATACATTTAAGAAAACATCAAAAATGTCGAAATGAATCTGTCAAGAAGAAATTAAGGAAGCCGAGAAGAAATGCAAGCAAATTTGCAAGAAAAGCACAAATTTTCGGCTCTAACGAATTTTTTCTTTCCTTTTGGTTTCACGGAAGCAGCGGCGATATTTATAGTTCCCCGGACGAATTCATAATTAGAATCCCAGAAGTTTAAAGCGAAAACGAATGAAACAAAAACAAGTGAAAGCATTATAGTCGGACTAGGAATACCCTACAACAAATTGTCTCACACAATTCTTATTTTTACCATAGAACACGAAAGTTATGCTCTGTTTTCATATGGATTTGCTATTATGGAACAGTCCATTAAAAATTAAAAATAAATAAAAAAAATAAAATAAAAATTGCAAATAAACGGTACTTTCCATAAGAATGGTAGCGATCAAGATGTTTAAAATTCAGGACAATTAATCATTGGCATCAATTCTCATCGTGAAATATTAAAACCTAAATTTTTCTGCCCTAACAATAAAGGATGTTAAGAAAATTGGCCCAGCCGGTCCAAAGTTTTCAACGCAATTTGAAATGTGGTAATGCTATTAGTTAGTCAAGTTCATCACAATATCTAAAAACTTGCGACATGTAGTTTGAACACCAAATACATGGACAGACATCAGACGGACAGGCAGATAGACAGGCTTAGGTCGATTCTGAAAATGATTCTGAATTGACCGGTGTATTAAAAAGTGGGTCTATTTTAAGCCTTTCTGCGTGTTACATACGTTCGCACAAACTTAATATATCCCGTAGCACGAGGGGTGCAGGGTAAACAAACCGTATTAAGTGATTTCGTCAAGAAATTGCACATTCTTTTCGTATTGCTTTCTGGCGCATGCTGTTGATCGTATTAACTATTTTGGCATAACTCTCTCTTGCCAAATTCAAGAAAATGGAGTCAGTACTAAAATGTGTGCCAACAACGAAATCTGGGGTTTATGCACATTTGTAAGAGTTCGACGGTTGTCGCTATAAACTACGCAATATGTAAAGGAAGGTCATGTTGGCAAATAATTATTTTTACAAATTTTTTTGCATCTTCCCTGTTCGATGGATACTTCCCGGGCTCATTTTTTAACCTTCTATATTAACTACTAATACTACGCGTTTATTGTATGAGAAATAGTTGACGATGCGGAAGTAAATAGAAATTTTCATTAATATGACATTTCATGAGACAAGCTACACAATACGCAATCGATCAAAACAAACGTGTGGACTTCAACTATTTCTAAGACTGTCTCTTTAGACTGTATATGTCTCCCTATACTGTTTGTGTATATATATGCACATGTTTGTTTAGAAGAATATTATAATAATAATAATAAAATATGAAGAATATTAAAATAAGAGAGCTCATCTCTTTGTCGAACATATTACGCAATGCTTTTTTAACCCTTACGGTTTTATTTACATTTATGTTCTCGCCTGAATTAATTATAGTTTCTTCTGATTTTATTTCGAATTGGTTCGTTGGAAAATGTAACAAACATTTTTATTAATTATTTTTACAGAGAGCAACCAAAAAACCACTATCGGGGATTGGGGTATCAGTTAAGCCAAATATTAGGCATACTGGGTGGGAATGCTCTGAGTGAATGAAGGATTCAGAAGTGGTTTTCTCGATTCTGTTCCGGAGATTTCGATCTCAAACATGCATCTCGCAATCATTGAAAAAGCCGAATGAATTCTGCAAGAGAGAGAAGAGCGAGAACGGCACGTAAACTGTCAGGAAATAGCGGAGGCACTAAACACCAACCACGTAACAGTTTGGAATCATTTGAAAAGAACAGGGTACAAAAAGAAGGTCGAATCTGTGGAATGTCTTAATATATTTTCTCTATTCTCTTTATTCTCTTTGTTCTGGAAACTGAAAAGTTCTAAAAAGAGAGAGAAGGAGTAATAGTAGCTAGCAAAAGATTGCGACCAAATTGAAAGTAATTGCTTCGTTGTTCAGTTGAAACATTTATTTTTAACGAAAATAAAACTTCAATATTATTCATTTAGAAGGTTTACCCTCGTAAACCCGATTTTGGGTTTCTTGTTTTACCAGTTAGCAAGGATAAGGTTTACAATAATTTTCAATCTTTGCGAATATATTCTGAAATAGAACGGCAAAAATGATATCCGAATGAGAACATGGTCTTCAAAAGTTATTTTCGCGCTTCCTATGCGATTGTCTACTGGAAGAGCCACCAGCGAACAATTCAGACAAAGTACTCGGGTGTTACGACATGTGCATGGCTATTCAATTACAAGTGGAGTGCTGCTTAAGGAGGTGGAAGAAAAGATAAAAATTTAAATATTTTCAAATATTTGCAAAGTAAAATATTTGCCTCGAAATTGGCCGAGTGTAAAATACTACTCTTGATGCTGTTTCTGAGTTGGTAGGCACCAATGTACTTGCCACTAAGGTCATCAAAAACTTAAATAGAAATCTTTATGATATAATTCAGTTGTATGAAAATTTTGCTGATCCTTTCAGTTTATGGGAATGCAAACTAACAACTCGAAAATGTTCGCACCATAATGATTCTCACTTAACAGAAGTTATTGCGTTTTCCCCAATTTATTTATTCTACAATATTACACATCAATTTAAAGAAAAATAAAGCTTTTTAATTTATACATAAGTAATTTCAATTTTGCTAATACTGGTCTACGTTTTAAATATATGCAAAGTTTTACAGATTATGTTTTAACTTTTGGTACAAATTGCGTTTTAAACACACGTACGCATATATATTATTACATTAAAAGGGATGGAAGAGGGGTAAACACATTTCATCAGTGAATTTATTTACTGTACGGTCTAGGTACGGGTACAAATTCCAATGCCATCTTTGTCTTTATCACGTTTGTACGGAATTTTACTACGGTTGCGAGGTGTTCGTGCTTTTCGACGGGAACGACCAGGCAAGGGCGAACGATCCCTGTAGGATTTCTCACCAGGGGAAGGGGAGTATTCACGAGAAAGAGTAGGGGGCGTTTTTAAATTTGTTGAAGTCGTTTCACTTCGGCTGAAAGCTGGCCAATCACTAATAATGGGTGGTGGTGGCGGTGGGGGCGTAGATTTTCCTTGATCGGTTTCCTCTTGTTTGCATGATTCACGTGAGTAATTTGGACCATCGTCGTCATATCCCAAACGTTGTCGTTCCTTTTTAATAAATTCATTTCGCGCCGAGGGGCACGCACCCTCCGGTTGTCGCAAAACACGAGCATTCTCAAGATACTTTTTTGGATCATAGTCTTCAACTTCAGTATTATCCCAATTTTCATCAGTCTCGATGGGTTTATGCTGGGGATGGTCCTCCAATTTCGGTACACAATTGTACTGAGTAATCAATTTGCGATCGGGACAAATATTTACATGGTTAATGAATTCCGCATCTGTGACCAAGTGCGTGTTATTGAAGGGACATTTCTGCAACTCCACATTGAGATAATTGGGACGGCATTTAACTAGATGTTTAGCCAAACTTTTCCGTAGCATCATATGTGATTTGTTGTATGGGCATGCAACCATATCGTCCTCATTTTGCGGAGCAGACATCGTAAGGGAGCCTTATTATTCTTAATTTGTTTCTTCCGCTTTTTATAATAGCTGTCGAAATCTTTTATTCTTCTTTTAAAAAAATTGATAATGCAAAACGTTTGTCACTTTGATTACAACTTTTGAAAAATAAGTCTAAGAAATCAGCTGCGTTTTCAAAAAGTAAATTAATAGTGCTTGCATTCTATAAAGAAGGCTTGCCACATGTACTGTGAAGAGGTTAAAGGAAAAAGAGAAACAGAGAAGAAGTTGGAAATAATAGGTTTGAACGAAAAGCTAGTGGTAATCCCCTATGAAAAAGCAGTTTTCGCTTTCCTTTTCAGCCGTTTGACAAAACCTCCTGAATTGCAAAGCGAAAGCAAACTCTCAGCTACGTGATTAACCCGCACGCGGGACTAAGAACTCAAAGGTCGCGGATTCAAATTTCATGTAAGTCATCTGGTAGCCTCTTCAAACTCTCATTTTGTAAATATGTTTACACATTAAATAAATAAAAATAAATTTGATGAAAATCGTCAAAATACTACAAACTTGCATAAGCCGACCAAAGAATTGCAAGGTTTTTCTTTGGAAGCTAAAAAACAAAAGAAAGGGGGCTACTTCTGATTGGGAAAAAAGTATCCTTTTATCTTCCTAAAAACTTTCGGCCAATTAGCAATTTTCCTGCTCTACCAATAGCCCTTGAGCGCCTAACGACTGATCCAATTGGAGTAAATTTTGAGTATTTAGAAGTTAGTTTACACTAATCAATTAAAGCTCGTACGTCTGGTCACAGTTGCAACACGCCAGGGGTCAATATATGGAATATATTCGTTCGCGCTTTGATTGATTTCTCTAAGGCCTTTGATATTCTTGACCACAACTTATGACTGCAAAAGACTGAATCTTATGTTGCCTTCAGCTCGTGTGCGATGAATTTGATTACATCTTACTTGGGAAATCGGCATCCACGTGTGATTGTTGGCGATTCTTCTTCAGAACTAAGAATGATTTCTTCTGGTATACCTCAAGGTTCAATTTTGGGGCCTGTCTTATTTAACGCCTTTGCATATTGTCGTGGTTGCAACATTCACTTATGTGCTGATGATGCACAATTCTATCTCTCGCGCTAGCTTGGACTTGTGGATTTGGACATGTGTGCTTCAGTGAAGAAATTAAGATTTTGATCTTACCACTTTCTGGTCCGACTTGAATAAATTAAAGTTGAACGCAAGCAAAAGTGAAGCCATAGTAACAGCAATGATTATATATGATATATATAATTATATATGTAAACATTTATAAGCTAAAGTTCTCTCCCATTTTATGAAAAATTTATAATTTAAACGTCTTCTCCAAGCCTGGGAGGTGTGCCAGTCCGCATTGAGTTTGCTGGTGCGGTCATGAACTTTTGTTTTTAAATTTAACTCTTGGTTGAGCGCTGATGGGCAGATAGGTAGGGTTCTAATTTAGATGTAAAAGCCAAAGGATATCCCTAGCACCCACATTATTTAAGCTTTGCTTTTCATGTCTTGATATACTACACCGCTTGTGCTACAGGATACATTAAGTTTGGATGGACATATGTAATGTGCATATGGGTTTAAAATAGACCCACCTTTAATTATACCGATCGATTTAGAAATATTTTCCGTCTATTGTCGGTCTGCCAAGTAAATTTTTGTTCAGGCTACATACAGATAGCATTTTTTGAGATATATTGATGAAATTTGGTACACTGACGTGGTTTGACCCAAGGACGAACTCCATTCAAAAAAAGTTTGGATTGCTTTTTTTCGATCATTCCTCATATGACGCTCTATTTTCAAAAGTTGTCATATGAAAAAAATTCAGTTCTTAAAGCTTGTCGACAAAACCTTGTTTGAACCCTCTCCCATATAACCGTTCCTACGAAAACTGAATCTTTATATAGAAAAAAGATATAATTTTTAATGCGGTGAAAATTACTTCTAAATAGTAATTTGACATAGAAATTAACCTTACCGAATTTGGACCACGAAGGTCTCTTGTGTGGATACCACTACTTACAAGAATTCCTCCATATGGGGCACTTCTCATAAAAAGTATGCTTTTGCAAGAAAATAATGCGTAACTTTTGGTGTATTATTACCAAAACGAGTGAATAACTGTGTTAGGTGAAGTGGTAGGCAGGTGGATACTAGTTGATCTCGCCTGACTTAATGTTAAAATAAAATCAATAGTTAAATGCACTGCTTTCTCTGCAAAGTTCACTTCAACGCGTATTCATAATATTATGAGAAGGTTATGGCTCTTCTCATCTTATGTTGCAATCTTCGCCAAGTTAAGACTAACTAAACGCTTTCGTGTGCCGCTCATATTGTATGGAGCGAACGTATGTATATGACAAGTTAGGTTATGTTTGCAAGTTGCCGTAAACAAGTGAGGCAGTTACATCTTCAAAAAGCGGAGATATGATAGTCCAATCTTCCGACATATCTTAACATCGGAAATCTTTTTAATTTTTTATAATCTATAACCAGATCAGGACCTTGGCTTTATTTTTTATATGGTATGATGTACTCATAATGTAGTGTATGGTGATGTAGTTAATCTTTACCGTTGTTGACGGTTGTGCCGACAGACTTTCTATGCTTTTACTGACACAGTAACTATTAGTTGTGGTAATGATTATCATTATATAATGGAATTATTATTAATTACTAACTATAATAAACGTAGACTAAAAAAAAATAAAAAGAGGAAAATTCACGATTGAACTGTAAAGCGAAGAAAGTCTTTTTCGCGGAAAATTCGCAAACCATTCAGAACCTTTTCTCAGCATTCGTGGTGGACCTATCGACGTCTCTTTAAGACCTCGGAGATAATAATGCATTAAAAATACATCTTTTCCTCCTTGAAGTATAAATAAGTTTTTTTGTGCTAAATTTATTCATATATATAAATGAGAATGTAACTATAAAGTATAGTAAACAATGTGCATAACAATGAACAAAGTCGCATTTACCTCTGTCCACTGCTAATGAAGGATAAACGCCAAAGCCAATACAAGTAAGCAGACCCAAAAATAAATTGCCTCTAGCCATTATTATCCCTTTCGAATTGACTTCCAATAAAAGATCTTTTACGTAATCGTCCTTTGATTTCTATATATATTTAATATCAAAACAGTACAACTCTCATCTCTCGATTGCTGCTAGGAAATGCAGTAATCTCACCTTTAAATCATAGAATAATTCTACCAAATCATAGATAACTTGTTGATATTTTTCATTATCATAAATCATAATATATGCCCTTAAGATTGTATTAAACCATAATACAAGCATATATGAGTTTCGTATAATTGAGTCGATGCCCTCGTTAGTTTTAAACATGTACACGAACTGAGTGAACACCAAAAACGTAGTGGTTGGTAGGCATATGTAGCGTCGCCAATTCTTTTCAAAAAGAAACGACCAAAATTTCAATATTTTCACATTCATATAAATTAGAGGAATATCTTCAAACATTTGTTTTTTTTTAAATATTTCTATTCTTTAAAAGTTATTTTAAGATGTATGTTAAAAAGACACTGTCAATGAATTGCAGCTGTCTTTCAATATTTATAGCAAATGTGTTTACATACCGTATTGTGTGGCAATCAATAATATTAGTGAACTATGAAATTATATTTTATGTAAAGGATACAAATGATTATTGTGATAATGATTAGTTATCAAAATGATTCAGCAGCTTTTTTATACCTATCACCGGAGCACGAGCGATATATTCATTTTATCAAAAAGTTTGCAACGTGCCGAAGGAAGCATCAAAGATCCTACGAATTATAAATATTCTTGATCAGCATCACATCCTGATTCGATTAAAGGATTTCTGTCTATCCGTCTCTGCAAGCTCTGTTGTAAATGTTTTCTGCAAATTTGGTAAAAACATTGAAAGCTCCTATACGCTGGTTGTTATTGAAAATGGGCCAAATCGGTCGAGAGGAAGACCCATGTACTCCATGTAATCTGAAAACACCACTGGTTTTCAGAAGGAATCAAAATTATTAGTCGTAAGCTACTGCAGATAGATCTACAAAAATTTGACCGTGTATTCTGTGGACGATGCTCTAGTAGCTGAACGGAAACGGGAACAATTGACTTTACTCAACTTTAGAGTACATCAAAATGTTTGCTTTTTCATAACTCTGTCCATCTGTCCATTTGTCCAATCGCGTACTATCTGTGGTGAACATTTTCCCGTTCGCAAAAATGAAGATATCGCCTAAAAATTTTGCAAAAGAATTAAAAAATGACCCAAACCGGTCAAAGCAATGAACGACTTGGCTTCTAACCCATTCGCGATCAGTTGCACAGCATATGTACAACCATAATGATGAGCGATTGTTAGTTGGGAGATCCTAAGGCAGCAGCGTCCGGAATGCAGGAAGCAACCAGTGATAATGAAAGTGATGATAACGCAGAAAATTGAAAGAAGAAGCGAAATCGTGTTACCGCAGTGAAGATATTCCGCCGAGAGAACCCACATTTTTAGGGCTTGTGTCCCTGCTAACTTACGGTTTATTGCGAAGTGAAAAAAAAATAAAATAGGTATTCAAATCAAAAAACATTAGGAAGCAAGCACATATAAAACAAAATTACACTTTAGTTATGATCACAACCAAAAAAACGATGTTGTTGTTACTGGCTCTCATGTACAGTTACAGTACAAACACTGGAAAAATCAATAGCCAAGTCGACAGACATCACGTAGCTACAGATTTCAAATACATGTTGAAAAATCGTCAAACCTGTCAAAAGACTTCATCAAAATTTCATTACTAAATTTTTTTTTATCGCCGCAAAAATAGCCCAAATATGCGCTTCCCATGCACATAAGAGGCTAAATTAATTATGAAGAATTCTACAAAATGCGGGAAAATTTCGAGCGTGATTTCTCTTTTTTTTATGTTTGATTAGTGTTTGGCCTCATCATTTTGTTATTCTTTCAACATCGATCAATTAGCAGTTATCTCATCAGAAGCACGAAGCAAGCGTGAACATATTCCACCCGTTAGCAAAAATAAAAATATGGGCTACGGATAGTGGGCTAACTTCATGCCATTGTATTATTCTTATGGACAGGGGTAGTGACTTAGAAAAACCGAAGAATATACATATGAATACTGAAATCTTGGATGATACACCGGATAAGGCGTTTGAGGAGTGGGATTTGGAAAATTGTAATGAAAATGACATTGAAAGTGAAATTGAAAGAAAGATTTGCCGACAATACTACACAGAGGTAGACATAGTAAGTACTTATATCCAGCTTCGATTATGTTTCGAAAAAGGTTGCAAGCGCTATCTTTAACCAATCAAAATAACGATCTCGTGCTATCTAACTGTTTTTGAAATGTTTATCATTTTTAATCTTTGCCTTATTTTACATTGCATACGTAGTGTTCAATTCTTTCCCTGCAATAAAAATTTTCTCTGGAGCGTGGTGTACACGCGGAGAGCAGTTATCTTAATTGTGCGAATTGATTTACGAATTGGGTGATTTCTTTAGTAAATCATTTTTTTTTTATTAAAAATGAATAACATAAAAAAAAAAAAATTCATTTTTGAAAAATTTCACACTCGCTGCGTTAAGGTGTTTCGGAAATAATACTCTGCTAATATTGCTTTCATTAAGATTGGGTGGGCCCAGCAGCATCAGTTTCTCTTTCTAACCACGAAATGCGTGTGGACCCCGTCACACATTTCGTTGAGTACAAAATCTTTCGCATACAGTTGCCTCCGTGCTCAGGCTATTAATTAGATTAACTAATAAAACAGGAAGAAATAAGTTCTCTTTAATTATATTATTAATAACGATTTAAAATCATTTAACCCCGAGACGAAAGAACTTTGCTGGTGGCGAAAACCCCGTAAAAGCAATGAATAGTGCACGTAGGAATTTGTTAAGACCTTCTATTCTGAACGGCAAGTCCATCGGATATATAAAAAATTCCTCACCGGTTTTCGTAAGAGACGGCGTTTCTCGCTTATTAGCGTTTGTCGACGTAGATCTTTGTAGCAATTGATCGCTGTATATAAAAGCCAATATAATAGTTACACGGACCGAATTTACGCCTAATAACAACCATTCACAGTAAGCACCATTGCTTTTTTTTAAAATCCTACATCACTTGTGGTACCGGGTATATTGACTTAGTGCGGTCGTTTGTAATATGCAGAAAGGCTTAAGAGGGACTCCCCTTTTATTATAGCAATCGATTCAGAATTGATCTAAGTGTTTGTCCGTCTGTCCGTCTGATGTCTGTCCTTGCATATTTCTGTTCAAACTACAGGTTTCAATTTTTGAGATATTTTGATGAAATTTGGTGTACTTTGGTCCACTTTTTCGACCACTTCCCATATAAAGCGCTATTCTGAAAAGTCGTTATATGGGAAAAAATTGTAATTTTGAAAATGTCTCGACAAAAGTGGCTAAGTAGAAGTATTTCGGCATTCTAAATTGGTGTGAAAGGTTTAGAGCGGTTGGGGCCACCGTTCATGCGGAACTTGAACTTGCATATGGTAAAAAGGGCTAAGTTTCAATATTTCTTGATGAATGATGATTTCTTCATTATAATAAATTGATATAAAAATTAACTTTATCGTAGTTGGACCATGTAGCTCTTTTTTTTGGATCCCAACCCATATATGGATTCCAATCACAAATAACCCTTTATAAGCCTAATTTTTAGTGATAAAAAATCATTGTTAGCAAATTAAGCGTATGGAATTTGAATCACATCGATTTACTATGGGGTATACTAGAAAACCAATGCTTCGACAAATAAATTCAATTTGCTAAATTTGCACCACGTTGATGTTTGAGCATCGTACACTATCAGGGCTTTCAAGAAATTATGCGTTTACATAAAAATAATGTATAATTTTTCGTGTATTATTACGAAAATGAGTGAATGATTGTATCAGGCGATGTGGTGTGGGATATCTAATACTTGCTAGATATATGAAAATATTAATCTATCTAAATTAATATCTCTAAACTAAAATGGCAAGCCTTAGAATTTAATATTAAAATTACTTTCATTATCTGCTGAAGTTTTGACCCCTTGATTTTTAATATTCCACTTACGTATACTTACTTGAATTTACTTATAATTAATAACAATAATAAACGCTAGACATAAAGGCGATAAAGAGACAAGTAACACCTGATTGTTTATTATATACTCTCCGCAGTTGGATCGCTTTACAAGGCAATGCACACACTTAATAGACTGTTTACTGCATAATTCTTACCTTTGAGGTTCTTGATTAGGTTCCTAGCTCTTACATTTTTATATTTTCACTTCATTTAATTGATGTATAAAATACAAATTTATTGTATATAATTTGCATTTTTATTAGCAATTTAAGGAAACGCCTCAAGTTTACTAAAACTAAACCGAAATAATTACTTTAAGCATAATTCTTCTTATTTTCTTCCTTAATATTTAACAGCCGTCCGAGATAATGACTACTCTTATACAGAGCAAAAAAAGGGAGGAGAACATGACAAACGGCAGGTGTATTCACTTGGAGAAAATCATGACCACGCAACTCAACTACACGGCGATATGTTGCACACGAAATGACAAGACAGGAGCGTAACCTATATCTAAAATTTGGAGAATCTTTCATTGATGGTCGTTTTACTTTCGAAGTCAGTTTTCTACAGCAGGAAGATGCAGTTCTTAGAGTTTGTCTTAAGCGCAGTCACACAAGGCGAAGCAATTGTAGCCGACGTGAACTCAATTGTTGCAAAAAAGTGCAGTCAGCAAAGAAAACAAAAAGCCTAAGATAGAATTTTACTTTCTTATTTTTATTGATTTTATTTTACCCATTTATACATGAAATTCAACTAAAGAAAATTACAGTCGAATTCAGTGCGTCTTAATATAAAATCTTGTACTAATTGTTTTAAAACTAGTATATAATAAAAAGGAAGAAAAAAAAGAAGAATAATAATAACAAAATAAGTTTAAAAATAAATTAAAAAGTTAAAAATTATAATTCATGTATAAATAAATACAAAGAGAGAGAAAAAAAAAGAAAAAAGCATCTACATGGCTAGCACAGATGCACACCCACAACAAGAACAGATCCAGGCTGCAAGTGAACCCCTAAACTTTTGCAAACATGCATACGCTTGGTAACCAACACGTTAACAACATAATATTATTTTAAATAAAAAATGAGATATTAAGAATGAAATGTTAATTTAAGTACGACATAGGTAAATCGCGCGTATTAAGCAATGGTGCTTTAATGGACTTTAAAGAGTCCGTTAATGAGAATAAGTGATAGACATCATTTAGGTTTCTGCAAACATTCTACATTGACTAAGCTTAACCAATGTAAAGTGCCTAGAGAAGCGCTTGGGGACATTAAAGCCTATCTCACGAAGTAATGCGGGCGAGTCAATAGTAGCATTTATAACTTTGAAAGAAGAAGGAAACCCCAAGAAC